CGAAGGGTTATGGCACATGGATCTAGAACTATCTACTCCAGTGGACGAAATAAAGGGTTCAGTTCGAAATTCTACTCACCTGATGAAAGCTTGAGCGTATAATAACCGAAACGTCGTGACGATGGCAACGAAAATGAGGGCAACAGTCTGAAGTGTAAAATAATTACAATACCTCATCTTCGGTGGAGGAAATAAAGGGTTCAATTCGAATCACATGAAGAAGCCCGAAACGTCGTGAATATGGCAATAAAGATGAGAACAACAGTCCGAGCAATGAAATAATGTAAATAATTTCAATAACGCATCACTAAAATATAGAGAGAAACGTTACTAAGCATGGCCTTTTGCGGAATTCCTATTTGTAAATTCTTTCCTTCACTTAGACATTGTCGCCAGCCTTTAATTGGCCGTGTGGGTGATGAGCCCCTTTCCTGAATAACCTGTTCGATATCATATTCCCACGGCTCGTACACGCCGTTCCATATACACATGGTCGAATTATCCTTATTCACTACCTCGATAACTACAAGCTTAACCTCAAGTCCAGAGCCAACTGTTGTCTATCTTGCATATCGTCATTACCTGCACTTTGTTATTCGTCATATCTCCAGGCTACAACCTCCTTGCAGTCACAACCACGAGACCCGTAACCCATTAGGGCCGTAATAGAGATGGTGTTTCCTTGACAAGATAGGCTTGTGGAGCCCAACAACATCCGCTTTTCAAATGTTCCTTCGTATTTAGACAATAGATTCCCGCCGTCTGTTTAAAAAAAAAAAAAAAAAAAAAAACAACAAAAAGCACACTTCCTAGATATTTAAATTTCTCTAGTAGTTCTGATATAATCGGTCCCGATGGATATGCTACGGTGATTTTCTAAACGTTACTTAGATGTGGCACAGGGACGAAAGTAAGGGTCTTCAAGTGAGGATCAAACATAGTCGTAAGTGATCTAGCGAGACAAGCATGCTAGCCATTACACCACATCTAAGTGTCTATGATGTATAAGTTATGTGCTGCAAGCTTAGATGTATTTTGTTTCTCATTTCAACTGGCCTCTGCGCAACCCTTAGCGTTCATCAGAAATATTTTCTATGACTACTACAACTTCTACTACAACTATTTATTGCTGTTGCTGTTGTTGTAGAGGAAAGATGGGAAGGGAGAGAATGAAAAACAGAGCAATCATAAAATTAACTGCTGAATATCGATAATGGATAGGAAAAAAGTTAATGGCGTTTGGAAACATGGAAAGAAGGACAGGCAGACGATAGGAGAAGGAAAGCATCAGTTTGAAAGGTAGTCATGCAGAGTTTTGGTGGGTGGTAGAGTGTTTAGATGGCTAACCGGATATGCAGCGTTCGAGCTGAATGGTGGAAATAGAAAAGAACCGAAAATAAAATAAAAAATCAAATCAAAAGCAACGTTTGAAAGATGCAAGTCGTGATGACTATGTAAGTAGGTAAAGTTAGGTGAGTTGATGACTGCATTAATGGTTGGTGAGTTAGATGGACGTGCAGGGACAGAAAAGAGGACCCCTTGTCCCAGCTTTTTCGGAACTATTTTTTTTGTCCTACGCCTACTGCCGCTACCGTCATCGCCAAGAGAGAGAGAGAAAAAAAAAGAAACAAAGAAGAAAGTGAGACGAGTTGGAATGTGCCGTTCGCCTGAAGCAAAATGGCCGACTACGCTCCGTTGCACATTTCGCTCGTTTTCGGCACCATTTTGCCGACGGCATTAGCCATTACCTTATTTTTACACTATTTCTTTTGCCCGCATCTTCCAAGTTTCTTTTTCTGAATTTTGTACGATATGTTTTCATGTTATTATTATTATTATTCATTTATTTATTGATTTATTTATTTTTAGACGTTTTTTTTTATCTCACTGTAGTCTTTATTTTGTACGCAAATATATATATATGTATATTTCTCTTTCTGTCTCTGTTGCTGTCTGTCTGTCTGTCTGTCTCTCTCTCTCTCTCTCTCTCTATATATATATATATATATATATATATATATATAATGTCGGTGTGTTTGTGTATGTGAGATATTATATAGAGAACTTTCTATGTATATGTTATATTTTTCTTTCAGAAGTGTCTGTTTTTACTGTTTGCCTTGTTTTGTATATTTGGCATTTCCTAAGTGCACTATTTCATTCAGATTTATTTGTTTTTGCGAAAGGTTTTTAATTCTTTTGCGCCTTTTTCTAAATTGTTTTGTATTTTGCTTTAATTCTTCAGTTTTCTAAGTGATCATCCTTTTTGTACTTACTTTTTGCTTATACCCGCATTTCCAGTTCATTATGCGAGCAATATAAACAAGTACACATACACATATACACACACACACAATAATAAACAGATACACATATGTATAGATTTTATACATACATACATATATATATATACGTAACAGACAGTAGGAAAACTGTATTATTAGTAGACGCGTTTCATCCAAGGTGGATTTTTAAAGGCAAAAATGAAATGAATTTATTAAACGCGTCGGCTGATAATACAGTTTTCCTACTGTCTTTTACCTTTATACATATTGTCTTCTTCTACAGGTTAACTATGAGAAATTTTTCATATATATATATATATATATATATATATATATATATATATATATATATATATATATACACACAAGAAACAGAGATAGACATATACACACACGTACATATGGACCAACAGACTGATAAAAGTTGCAAAATCTTTTTCATATACTTATTTAATTTTTTAAACCATATCTCTCTGTCTGTCTGTCTGTCTCTCTCTCTCTCTCACTCTCTCTCTCTCTCTCTATATATATATATATATATATATATATATATGTATATATGTGTATGTGTGTGAAAAGTGTATATAAATATAAATAAATATAAGTATGTATAATTATTTATATATTATATGCGCGGTACTTATTAGAAAGCGCTCAATATCAGAGAGTTTGTCTGACGATCACTAAAGCGTGAAACCCAGGGTCACAAACTCACATCTATCCAACCAACTATATATATATATATATATATATATCATTAAATATAAGAGGCATAATTGCTATAATTTCTGGAGAAAATAAAGACAAACATTTCCCAACATTTGGATATTTTTTTTATTAAATTGGTCCTAAGCTTTCGCCACACATGACGGATCTTCGGTCTATCACATGGTATGACGTCGTAGAACCGCGTCTTGAACTTACGATCTGCGTCTGCTATTCCGCGACCGTTATCGCCGTATAGCAATTTTCTTTATCAAAATAACAAAATATCCTCTTTCACGGTAGCTATCATTGCTCTATGTCTGTATAGCCACTCTGAAGATGGCTCATGTAAGACCAAAGCTTAGGACCAACTTAATTAAAAAAAATATCCAAATGTTGGACAATGTTTGCCGTTATTTTCATCAGAAATTAAAGCAAACATTCGAGCATTAAACGGTTCATCATCAGACATGATAATAAATAAATAATAAATAATGATCTGTCCAATAATATATATATATATATATATATATATATATATATATATATATATATATATATATATATATATATATATATATTGAATAAAAAGACAGACCACGTTAAGATTCCATGCAATAAAGTTATTTCACCATAACCCCTTTAACAGGGTTCTGGATCATCAGACTTTACTTCCAGATTAATGTTGCTAAGAACATTCTGTTTTTACTTCAGACTTTTACTTTAAACACACACACACACACACAAATATATATATATATATATATATATATATATATATATATATATATATATATATATATATATATGAAAATTTCTCAGAGTTAACCTGTAGAAAAGACAATATTTATAAATATAAATGACAATAGGAAAACTGTAGTTATTGCTGACGCATTTCAAAGCAAAAAACGAAAAGAATTTAATTAAAGAAAGTAACTAATAATAAAAAAAAAACAACACAGCTATAATGACAATATTTTCCACACGTGACAATAACTGATGTTATTTTCAGTTAACAATAGGGAAATAGCATTATCTACATTCCTCCAGTTGCTAAGAACATTCTGTTTTTTGTTATTATTAGTTATTTTCTTTAATTAAATTCAAGTTTTAAGGTATGCTATATTTATGGGTAAAAGAGCTCAATATTAGTATCAGGGTAGAGCGTATATAAATATAAAAGTGGGCATTGAATTCAAAGTCGACAGTCTATATCATGCTACATGCCATAGATTTATGACATATGGCATGATGATTGCATTGAGCATGAAACAGTTACATCTGGGGGTTGATTTCAATGTACATATTCAGAATATGAGACCCGGGTTCGAATTTGACCATGGTCGATTTGCCAGGAATGAGACATTTTGATCTTATCGATTTGTCAAGAAGGAGGCTTCCTGATGTTAGGTGATTACTGATGTATGTATTCAGTCGGTTCGATGATGCTTAACTTCAGTGATCTTACGAGAACCGTTGTTTCAATACGGTGTGGCCGCAAACTTTATTGCTAGAAACTTAGAGACTAATTAATAAATTTTGATATAACTTATTTCCGTTTCTTGTTTACACTATTTCGTCAACTTTGTTACCATATTCATGACGTTTCGGCTGTTGCACGCTCCGGCCTTCTTCCGTTTCTTGGCTTAGTTTTCTTGCTTTTTTTGTCACCTTTGATCTTCAAAAATGTAAATGCAATATCAATCACTATCTACTTCTTAATTTTTGTTCTCTCTCCTTAATAGTGTTTTCCTTCTCCCATATTCTCTAAGACCCAGTAACACCTTGCATCTTAGTAGATTTATAGCCTTGCTTGGAGTGAAATGATTAAAATCATAGTTATTTGTTATGGAGACTTCGGTCTTACTAGAATCATTATCTTACATTATCTATGGACATTCTTACATGCATTTTTTTTTTACGCAAGCCCTACCAGATTTTTCTTCCAAGTTGCAAGACAGTAATATCATCAAAGCAATTGTGAACCCATAACATAACGGTATCACCCGGATGCGGGAAAGATCGACTGACCTCGTCGGCAGGGGAATGAACACAAGACAGTTGTTCGGGATCGCCCGAGTTAGTCACTTGAAACTTGTTTTGTTGTGGTAAATGACAAAGAGTCGATATTTGAATCGGAAATTCTAATCGGTAAGCAGTGGACCATTAGAAACCTTGTTGTTCAATAATTAAGATATATAGAATGGCTAGAACCACAAGCCGAAAATCTTATAAGCAAACATGTTTTTGGCCAGCAAGAATTTGGTTTGGTTTTTTCTTTGTTTTGTTTTACGGCATATCAACTTCAATGGGTTATGTAATGCGGACAAAATTTTTGTTGCTGGTAATATTTGTTTTACCAAAAATCTATTTATGGTAATAATTTTTCTTCAAAAAATGTAGTGCTGGTAATAGTTTTTTTTTCTTCAAAAATGTGTTGCTTGTAATAGTTCTTTTTTACAAAGTATTTCTGGTATTAAAACCTATTTTTACACATTCATAGTGTTTTAACCCCAGTTTCAGGGTTAACTATTTGCCCATAGCTGGGACCCTAACAGGTGTTACCACCCTGGGTCAGGGTAGACACGGGAACACCAGCAATTAAGAGCTGGTTCCACGCTCTTCAAAATCCCCTGATCAGAGGCCTTGCTGTTGGACGTGGTTTATCGTCATACCCTGGACGTGGATGTAGTTTATCGTCACACCCAGGATGCCAAGGATTTGGATAGATATATTGAATAATATAGACCCCATTGCCAAAATAAAAAGAAAGACAGAGCTAACGTAGTAGAACATGGTGGATGGATTATATGAACGTTTTGATATATATATATATATATATATATATATATATATATATATATATATATATATATATATATACAGACGTCTTACGTTACACCTATCTGATCACAGCTCCATTAGAACCCATTTAAACACACACACACACACACAAATTTACCAGACTCCATTAGAAACATACTAGTAGAAAACACAAATATATTAACTGCATCCACCTTCCAAAAGAAAAAAGATTAAAATAATGGAAGCTTTAATAATAAAAAATGGAAAAACCAACTCTTAACAATATTAACTACGAACAAAGCCACAATGTGCTAACCGTATTCGGAAATTAAAAACATCCCTACCACACACTAAGACATACAAATAATGCATACACTCAATTAATCTGAAAAATCGAATCATCCTTGATAATGGCTAAAGGTATAGCCGAAAGCGTTCGGAAATATAAAACATTTGGACAGTTCTTACACACGCTTTGTCCAGAAAAGAGAGTTCTTGTTCGGACACAAGAAAAATTAAATAAAAAACTTAACCGTAGTATCTTGTCTGTCGTATATATATATATATAGCAAATTTGGGACAGTTTATTTAGTTGTTACATGAGAAAAACATTATCATCGCAATTGTTAACGCACAACATAACATGTGACCTGGATGAAAGCAAGATCGACTGACATCGATTGCTTGGGATGAAATAATTTAAAAAAATATATTCTTAAAAGGAAAAATGTAATGAAAAATTGGGGAAAATAATATTCAGGTACGCTTTACGGTGGGGTAATGGATAACGGCTCGGATTGAGGAATCGGAGAGCCGGGTTCGAATTCCAGTCGAATCCATTACATTCTCTTACGTGCTAATACCCTTGGGAAAGGTATGAATCCTCTTCTCTCCCCAGCTATGGGTGAATAGCAGGACAGAACGGGTTCTATAGTCGTGGATGGCAACTGGTCTACCGCGGAAAGAAATGGCAACCTACTGCGAGAAAAAAAAATCTGCCTCGTCAGTGATGTATCGAAAGGTACGTGATCGCCTAAGCGTCTAGCAATTAACTGACTGACTTTAATTTCGGCTGCCTGAATGCCGTGTAGTCACCAACGCAGTAAATAAATAACGATAACAATCATCTACTTATTTCTGGTCATGTTTGGATTTTGAATTCGTACGTGCAGTAATAAATCAAAAGATACTGATTGGCCGACATGTATATATTTAGAGATAACACGGATCGAGTGTTTAAAATTGTAGGCATCATTAAAATAATTAACCAAGAAAAAAAATGGGTACCGGCCTGCCTTATCTCTTGCATGGCTAAAAACAAACACCACGTGCAACTAGAGGCCTTTCGGTGTAAGAATATGAACAGGGAAGTAAAAGAAAACCAAATGTGTTATTTAATTATTTCTTTTATTGTTTGATGTACGCAGGTCCTTACTTTTCGTACCAAAATTATTTTTATTTTATAGGTGACTTTACCTGGATTTCACAATTAATTTCAATTATTTCCAAATTTATTCCCAAAGATACTATGTTTTACAATAACGTAGCAGTCCTATCAAAAAAATAAAATAACTACCTGGTATAATGTGTAATCTACGGTATTAATATTTTATAGGAGTTGACGTTGACTTTAATGTGTTTATTAGTAGATCTGACGAATTTTAAATGTTCGCTAAGTTATACCAATACTGTTGTGGATTCCGGGATGAAATCCGGTCTTAAAGGAATGACAAACGCAGGAATGAAATATAGCAAATAAATGTATTGACGTAATAATACAATTGGTAATACGGTTAGTAGATTCAGAAATGCGGTTAGTAGCAATAATAATAGTCTGGGAAATTCAGTATCAAACTATGACTTCCTTCTGAGTCTACGTGCTCTCAACTGTGACTCCTAAAAAGCGGTTACCTCACACTCTCACTCTCTCACTGTTCACTGTATCACGCTATCGGTGTATCTCTCCGTCTCTGTTACTCCCAGGTATTCACCGGCAGCAGTACAAGTACACACTGGTCGAATCCTCTTGTATGAAAAAGGGGTGGATCCCATAACAAATACAATATACGGTTCTTAGTGGTGTGTGCTGTAGACTGCTATACAACGCATACAGAAAGATATTACGTTTAGTGTCTCAATATACAGGTAAGTAGTGTGACCTTATGTAGTTTTGATACAGGTTATCGTATACTGTAACCTAATTTCATTTGCCGGTAGGCCTAAGTTTTGTATGCTGACAGTTTCTACCATCGCACTTCTCGATTGTGGAAATTTCTACATTCTTCTTGCTTCCCAGTCAATTTTGATCTTCAAAAATTTAAATGCAATGTCTATCGTTATCGTCTGTCTTCTTATCTTCTATAGTTCTTTCTCATTAATAATATTTTCTTCATATTCTCTAACACTCCGTAGCCCCTTGCGTCTTAGTGGCGTTATTGCCTTTCTTGGGGGTGGAATGATAAAAAAAAACAATGATAATATAAGAAACAGCATAAAATAAGCTTTAAAATAATTAATAATTTTACACAATTAATTTCTTTAATTTTCTTAATAAGGTGTTAAGTTAATAATAATAATGATAATAATAATAATGATAATAATAATAATAATGATGATGATGATAATAATAATAATAATGATAATAATGATAATAATGATGATAATGATAATAATAATAATGATAATAATGATAATAATAATAATAATAAGGACCTTGAAATAGAAATCTCGAAAATGTGGCATATGGGAACATCAACAATCCCTGTTGTAGTTGGAGCCCTAGGACTGGTTGGAAAAGATTGCAGTAGACTAATTGAAGGGATTCCTGGAAGTCCATGCCTCAAGGAGATACAAAAAATTGTTCTGACAAGTTCAGCCCACACCTTACGAAGGGCTTTATCTATGTAATTTAATTTTTATTTTTTTGTCAGTGAAAAGTGTCATGACGCCATTTCTAACCTTAGGTCCCTGGGCGGGACCCGGAAAGAAATGTGTAAACGCCAGAAATCAAAGAAAATAATAATAATAATAATAATAATAATAATAATAATAATAATAGTCCGTCCTTGCCTGCTTCAATCGTCGGGAAAACTTAAGGGCAGAAGAAACAGACAACCTCTTCCAGGATGATCTGTTGGCAGTGTCTCTCAGGAGTTCTGGAATTGTCATGTCCGTCCACTCTTTCATGTTGTCTCAACTTTTGCGTTGCCGTTCCCGCTTGCGTCCGCCTTCAACAGTGCCTTGTATGATGGTCTTGAGGTGGGAGTTATGTCGTGTGGCGTGGTCAAACCATGCCACCTACCAACGCTTAACAGTGGCGAAGAGAGATTCCTGTCAGTCCACGAGACTTTTGACCCTGGTTCGTACAGTCATTGGTTTTGTGCTCTCAGGAGGAGATACGGCGGAACTTTTCCAATCATTTGTCCCCGAAATGTTCTCTGGGTTGAATTCCATTCCGTATTATTATTCCATATTAATAATACAAGAGAAATGCTTTATCCAAAAATAAAAATAATAAAACAAAGCCAAACTAGCAATAAATTAATAATAATGAAAATGCTTCATATAAATAAATAAACGGCAAATTTTGTTTCTCCATCCGTGTGTCTGAAATTGGACCACACATGCGCGACATAGTCTTATTGTAACTTTTTGGAATCAGGATGATTCCAGAATTGAAAACCGGCCTTTCATTTTGTCCTTCATCTGGTGCTTGACTATCCATTATTGGGATTTGTGTCCAGACAAGAAAGGAACAGATACAAATTCCAATTTTAAAATAACAGAAAGAAATTAATGATTTTAAATGATTTTAATTTATATTGAGTTTAAAGTAACACAAAAAGTTTGTGATTTTTTTTTTTAAATTCAGTTTAAAATATCTCCAAGACTTTGGAATTAAGGAACTCAGCTTCATAAAATGCCAAGTAATCAGAGTTAAATTGAGAGGTTTTGTGACGTGAAATTTTGAAGTTTCGAAGAGTCTGTGATTTGAAGACTTATAGCCTGAATTGGACATATATCCCGAATTAGAGTAAATCAGAGATTTTGAGGTTCCATGAAGTTAATTTGAGGAATTCAAATTTATTTCTTCAAAATTATCATTGCTGTTTTCTAAACTGGACCAGCTGACTCATTAGCTTTGGGCCTGAGGCCCAATTAGCCCTCCGCAGAAGCTAGATTAATTAACATCTGCAGTGGGTGCGGCTTTTAAGCTAGTCTAAAATAAAACTAGGATTGAGTAAAACTATTTGATTAAGTCATGAATAATTTCTTTTGTTTATCGACATTGTTATCCAAAATG